AACAGAGCATTTGAAATGATTTATGATACAACGGGCGCCCACGGTTAGGTCCACACGGTTAAGTATCAAAGAACCTGTATTCCACGGATAGGATAGGATAGGATCCATTCAAAAAATATCCAAGTTGTTGCGTTGCCCCCTTTACCTTTCTGAGGTCTGTTTGTTTGGCTCACTAGATATGGATTGAGTTGTACTCACTGATTGCTGACTGAGACACGAGGCTTCCTTTTTACAATTTTGGGTCACCACTCACCACTTAGATTGGTCGAGTTTGTAATCAACTGCTAAGAATTAGATAGAAAATAACATGATTCTTTTTTCACATGTAAAGAACTTAGGATGATACTGTTCAAGGTCTTATAAAGTTTATATTAGTTGTCCATATAACCAATGTGAGATTATATATCTCAACACGCTCTCTTATTGTGCATTGTGCGAAAAAAGAAATTCCATCGGAAAGAAAGTGGGGGGCGGCGATGTTTGAACCCAGGACACAAGACTCTGATATCATGTAAAGAACCTTGAGATACACTACTTTAAAAGCTAGCTCAAAGGGTGAGAGTGCCCAAGGTCTTATAAACTCCACATTCGTTGCCCATATAACCAATGTGGGACTATATATCTCAACAGCACACGCCGATATTCATACAATGTACATAAATCGAATTGAATTGAATTTTTTGAAAAATTGAACTAAATTGATTTAAATTAATTTGGTTCAAAGAATCGAACATCTTTCCCTAATATCCAAAAAAAAAAAGAATCGAACATTTTGTAGTACTAAAAAAGAATCTAACTTTTTTTAACACTAACCAGTTCTGTTCAAAATCGGATCAGTTCAGTTTAAGAACGATTTGATTCAGTTAAAAAACGGTTCAGTTTATTTTGAAATCAGGTTGAACCTGTTTTGAAAAAAAATAAAAGAAATAAAAAAATAAAAAAAGAAATAAAAAAATAAAAAAAAAGAAGTCACTAAATAAATAAGAAAAATAAAGAGAAAAAATAGAAATAAAAGAAGAAGAGAAAAACGAAAAAAAATTGGTTTGTAAATTAGATTTTTAAACCACTTTGGTTCTTGAATTAGTTTTAAAAAAATTAGTGTAGTTCATGAATCGATTAATTAGTTTTAAAAAAATCAATTTTGTTCATGAATCAATTTTTTAAAAATAAATTTAGTTCATGAATTAATTTTTAAAAATTAATTATTTTAAACATAATTCGATTCAGTTAATAATTCGGTTTAATTTTTTAGTTCTTTTTGTACATTCCTAAAGGTTGGACAACTCTTGAGATGCCACATGTTGCTCCTTATATTCCTCTTTCTGTTCCTCTATTTATGTGTAGTCCGTACAAACCAATAGCTTTGATTTAAAAAAAAAAAAAAAAACCTACTAGCTTCAGCATTTAAGTTTTTTTTTTTAATCCTTAATTTAATTGGTTTTTTTTTTTTTTTTTTGATAACAGGTTTTTGTCTTCTTTAATCGAGTAGTTGATATGCATGTTGTATATCTGTCCGGCGTGTATGTATGAGTGGAGGTTGATTTTAAATAAAAGAAGGGGACACCGACATTCATTATTTGTCTTCTTTTCTTAACTTTGCCTTACCATATAAGTTGTTTTCCGCGTCCCTTTCGATGTTGAGACTTAGCTAGTAGACTACATTAACCAATAATAAATGTATTATTATTTTATTTATAAAATAATTGTATGACACATGAATTTATATGATTATTTAAGATAAACAATCTATATAAACAATGTAATTTTTTTCCTTTTCATGATAATAAGATATTAGGATCAATATTATATGACGAAGGGAGGATTAAATAACTATTTGACTCGGGTTTCTATTGCTTGCATATTATATTTCTTTATTTGCTTGAATATAAAATAATGTGTATAGTAATCAAAACAAAGAAAAAATGCAAGTTGATATCCACCGACTTGCATATCGCTTGAATGGATACATATTTTTTTTTTAACAAAATCACAAAAATTAGTAATGTTTAGGATTAATTGTTCATTTTTACATCTTGTACATATCCTTATATTATGTAGACCACTGACTGTGTCAGTACAATGTTAAAGCTCATTATTATTATATGTGATTTATGTTAATAATAACACCATCCTTCATAAAAATTATTTTTCAAAATTAATTTGTAAATTTGAATAACATTTTTTGGAAGTTTGATTAAATAATTTTTCCAAAAAGGCAAACACTTTAGGTACCAAATCATGTATTGAACTTTAAGTTTAGCACTTAATTTGATGTTTCATTAAAAAAAGAGTTATTTGAATTATTACCCTCTATAATTTATAATAATCATTTCTAGAGAGCGATACTTACTTTAGTATAAAAATCACCATTTAAATAATAATTATTAAAAAAATAAGTTTTGCAAAGACTGATTGGTCCCATAATTTACAAAAAATATTAAAATCTAATATATTATAAAATATAAACTAGAAAAAACAAATCTATTTATTTTGAAGATGACGGTAATCTTCTCTTATTTTTTTCATTATTATCAAGTAGTTATTATTATTAAATTAAAAATCTGTATAACAATAAACATAGGATAATAGATTTGTCATGTAACAGAAAACAAAAAAATTTCTTTCACAGTCAGCAATCAAGAGAGAGAAACAAAAATCAACGGGCCCCACATCTATTGTTGTATGTGCAGGAAATTCTTTTATTTTCCTGTTACATAATAAATATATTACCCATAAAAATAAATAACTTTTTTTTTTTACATAATTTACTTTATTGTTACCCTTGCTAATGATTTACATTTATTTAGATGAAAAAATGAGAGACATTGAAACAAGAGCATACAAGTTAATCCCAACCCACAAACGTCACACTCAGCCTACCTTACAGCCGTGACGTGCAAGTGAAGGTCTGGGTTTTTTAACATTTAAAAGATGAAAGAAGTATCTATCATTTTAAATAATATAAAATTATGTTATTTCAAGTGAAAAAAAAAAAATAAAGAAAAAAGAAGAAGAAAAAATAGATAAAAAAATATAAAGGTGTGGATCCTATCTCTTCGAGAGAAATATTTAATATGTTCCAGGCCCATATATAATTCAGTTGTCCAAATTAATGAAAATTAAGTATTTTCTGACTTGCTTATGTGAAGCAAAGAGAAATTTTATCTTTTTCTACAAGTGAAAGCTCAATGGAAGGAGTAGATATGTCAGGATTATTACAAATGGTCTTCTCTTTATGAGAATGAAATGACATAAATTAAATTATTTAAAAAGATAACACTTTTATATATAATATTAAACTGACGAGGATAACACACTTCATACAAAACAGAACCCCGCTAAGAAAATATTTACTTTTAAGGGGCGTTTGGTTGAAGAGAAATTTTTATGAATCATAGGGAAATGTGATTAGTAAGAAAATGGTTGAGAATTGAGTTTGGTAGGAAAATATAAAAAAAGTAGTTTGGTAGGAAAATAATTTATCGAGAAAATTAGGTAACTTTTGGTAAAATATAGATGAAAAAAATGTGTTTTTACAAAAATAACCTAAGCCTTGCTACCCTTTACCCGTAAAGAAAGTTATCATTTCAATGAATGGCCTTTTCTTCCTTCAATTTATGAATACAAGTTTGAAGAAAATGAGAAGCTCGGTTCACAGGACAGGCTACCGGCATAATCGCAAGATTAAAAAACTCCCCACACGACCTACTAACTCAATGCTATTTTGTTACCATGGTGAACGAGCATTTGTTAATCCTAATCCATTAATAATAACGAACTCGGAACACGAAACAAAAACAGGTACAATATCTAGAAGCACTACATAAAAGAGTTATTGAGAGTTTAATCCTCATCCTCTTCATCTCCATCACCACCAGCAGCTTTCTTAGCAACAGCTTTCTGGTTCTTTCTCTTCACCCTTCCAGAGGGTACGCTCGTCTTTTGCTTAGTTGACAATGTGAGCAAATAGCTACATAACAGACAATATCACGTGTGAGAAGGGAATTTTTGGCCGGGTATATCACTACAAATAGATATGCAAATTGCTTTGGTAGCATTTTGATTTAGTTAGGTAAATGAAGAATTTCCTTCAACCAAACATGGTCACCACCAAACCCCACTTCTAATTTGCGTATCAATCTACTCAAAATCCTTCAACCAAACCCACCCTAAATATAAATGAGTTTATCGTTAGTTATCTCCTACTAGAGCGTAAAACTAAGTCATTTTAATGGTTGAGAAAATTAATAAAAGAAAATTTTGTTAAAATTTATATAAAAAAAAATAAAATTAACATCTTTCCTTAATTTTCCAACTCTCGACATGATATAATTATAAAATTGGAAAAAATAATTTTATTTCATATAACACGCGATAAATATTTTTTCCAATATCAAAATATGTTTTTTTTTTTAGATATTTCAAACAATTTATTATTTCATTATTTTGGTATTAAAACTTTAAATTCATCCCAAAATAATAATAAAAATCGAACAAATACTTTCGCTGAATCTACTTTAGTTATGACACCAATTGAGGCAAGAAAATTAATTTAATGCATTTTAATAATTTAGTTACGTCCAAATTCAACGTCATATTATGCAATAAATTAAGGAAAAAGTGTTTGTCATTTTAAATGACAGAAAATTATGTCATTTTAAGAGAGATACATACACAGTAATTTTGAATTTTAAATTAAAAAAAACACTCACTTTCTCTCTTCATGATTTCCGTTTTTATGTGTCTATCTCTCTCTTAAAATGATATAACTTATGTCATTTAAAATGACAAACAACAAATCTATTAATTAATTTATTAAAAAGCATTAACTTAATTTTTTTCCCACTAATTGAGCTTTGATCATTTAGTTTAGTTTTTTTCTTTTTTTCTTTTTCTCTGTCATTATTTTGAGAGCAGCGATCATGAAAGCGTGTTGCATGATAAAGGGTAGTGAGTGCCTCTCAGGCTCAGCAATAACTTTCACAAAACAAAAGATTCCATTTTACAGCAATCACATGAATGAGTGAGCACTATGCGGTAACCCTGAAACCAAGTTGCCCTGTCTTGTCTTCTGTCTCTTTGTTTCTGCTACTGTTACCAAACCGGAACCTCTCTCTCTCTCTCTCTCTCTCTCTCTCTCTCTCTCCATATATATATATATATATATATGCATTGCTCACCAGGGCTGAGGTGATAAGAGATAGAAGAAGCTGATTTCATTCCATTCACTCACATAAAGCTTGAAAAAACGGTGTCTCTTTTCAGATTCCTTTAATAAACACATAAATTTAAGTTTCCAGAACCTTTGTTCTTACCCTTTTTGACAGTGGCGAGGATCTTCAGAATGGTAGGTGATTCTATCTCTCAAAACTCAAATTTTTTGTTTTTTATGCTCATAGTCATAGGGTCTTTTTCTTTGAGTTTTTTGTTGTTGTTTTTGTTGTTGTTGGAGGGTGGGGATTTTGTTCCGGGTACTAATTAGAGATATTCATATGAGTGGAATTCAGGTGGTAGCTGCAGGTTCTAAGTTCAATTTGAGAAGAGGGAACTGTTCTTCTCATAATGTTATCAATGATTATAACAGTGATGGAGATGTTTCCAGAATTAATAAAAGTGGATGTTTTTCATCAATGGCTGAGGTGGACACAGACCCTTCCTGCGTTTCATTCACCACTTTTAACATCCTGGCTCCGATTTACAAACGGGTTGACCCACAGGTATTTGTCTTGTCTTGTCTTGTCTTGTGCTCTTTTACCATAATCCTGTAATTCCTGTTGTGTGGAGAGTTCTCTCAAATTGTGTGTTTTGGAGGGTTTCGTTCTGAATTTGTTGTTTCTTGTCTTGAACAGAATCAGGGCCTTCGAGAAAGTGACTTTAGATCATTCTGGTTGGCCAGGAATGAAAGGATTCTGGATTGCTTGCTTTCTGAATCATCTTCCATAATGTGCCTCCAGGTAACAATTTCTCCACTTTCTCTTTTTTGGTGGTGGACTGGGGAGAGGGCATTGTCTCTTGTGAACATGTATCTTTGGTAGTGATAGATCATTCTACATGGATACTCTTGTTCCCAACCAGCTGTCTCTCACTCTATATTGTGATGTTTGTTTCACGTGTAGGAATTTTGGGTTGGAAATGAAGAACTTGTTCACATGTATGAGGAGAGACTTGGGGATGCTGGATACCATCTCTTCAAGCTTGCTCGAACCAACAACCGCGGAGATGGTAAGTGTGCATTCATGCTTCTACTCATCTAATTATTTGGATTGCCAAATGCAATACATAAATAGTAGTTAGTACCGATGCTCCATGTGTTTCTGGGGGATTGTTCCATTTTTTTTATAATCTAAAATTTATGCTTCTCCAAGTAATTTTGTTGCTCTTTGGCTCAAAAGCTCATATTTATTATGCAGGTCTGCTTACTGCGATACATAAAGCACATTTGAATGTTTTGAATTACCGAGAGTTGCTTTTTAATGATTGTGGTGATCGTGTTGCTCAGTTGTTACATGTTCAGTCAGTTGCCCCCTTTGTACAAAACCAAAATGGCAGTGTTCACCAAGAGTTTCTGATTGTGAACACCCACTTGTTATTTCCTCATGATTCAAGTCTGTGTATAGTGAGATTGAATCAGGTTTGTGAGTCCCCAGCAATATAAGCTTTTTTTCTTCTTATTCATTTGTGATTTCTGTAGCCAGCTTGCTTTCAATACTAAACCTCAGCTTTCATTTTCCTTCTTGTAGGTTTACCAGATATTGCAATATGTGGAACTGTATCAGAGAGAAAACAGGCTCAAATCCATGCCTATAATACTCTGTGGGTGAGTATATTGTTTGTTTTTCCTGTGATGTTGGTATGTCTACTGGAATCAGATATCCTTAGTAGTGTGAACTTTATGTTCTATCTAATGCAGTGACTGGAATGGAAGCAAGCGTGGACATGTTTACAAGTTCCTTAGGTCACAAGGGTTTGTATCATCATATGATATTGCTAATCAAAATAGTGACAGTTATGCAGATGCCCACAAGGTAAAAATCTCACTATTATATAAAATTGTACTTATGTTTTCCCAATATTAAAGGCATAATGTTAATGGATTTTTGTTTTGCTTGAATTTTTATTTTCACATTAATCCAGCAGTGGGTTAGTCACCGAAATCATAGAGGAAACATCTGTGGTGTTGACTTCATTTGGCTTTGCAATCCTAACCAAGCTCGTAAACCCTTGAAGACAAGTTGGGCTGAAGCTGTATTTAGTATACTAAAGGTGAGTGTTCACTCGGTTTAATATATTTTTGGTTGTCTTTGTATTTCTGTCTTTTTTACTTTTAAAAGATAAAATATTCAGCTCAAGAAATAGTGCCTATGGATGAGCTTTTCATAAAAATGAAAAACCTACATAAGGCATACTTGTTAACAAATTTTTGTTTATTAATGTGGTCTTGTAAACTTGACATGCATGGACAAGCCTAGTTTTATATGAAATGCTAACAGCCAGCCTCTGTTGCTGGTTAGAAGCTTTATTGGCAAAATGTTGTTTCAAAGTGTTTACATTTCTCCTTATGGGAAGCTTAGTAAAAATTGCTCGTGGACTTAGAGCTTCAATCTCCAACTTATCTGGAACACCGAACACCTAATAACAATACATTACATCCTTCATCCTTGTACTTGATTTTTTATGGACCTTCATAATCATAAAACTCCCTTTTTGTTGTGAAGTAATGAGAATATATATACTTGTATACATATGACCATTTTAGCTCTGCTTCTAATGCTAGTTCTTTCTTTCTTTTTTTCCCCTCGTTTCTTTTGGATTTCAGTTCCAGTTACGAAAAGCTTCATTGTCCGAAGATGATGCATTTGCCTTTCTGAAGGGTGACAACTTTGCTGATTCTGTGACATATTTTAGCTTCTCTGAAGCACTCCGACAGGTACTTCATATCTTCTAATATATGATTGATATAGAATTCTGATAACAATAGCAAACGAGCTTATAGCTCAATTGGTACCAGCCAAAAAAAAAAAAAAAACTAGTAGCAATAGACTTACTATATCAAAACTTTTGCAGGTAAAGTTAATAGGTGTGCCTCATGGACTATGCTTTCAACAGTTGCAAGATCTATGGAATGAAGCAGATGTTGATGGAAATGGTGTCATCGACTTTGAAGAATTCAAGGTATATTGTGATGTCTTCACTTTTTGGATAATTTATTGTCATCATTGTTTTTAAATTTTTCTGGTTGAAATCTATGAACATGCATGTCCCTAATGCAGTGTGCTTGAATGTTAAAAGCATTAGTAATTACCAATATCTAGGACATTGTCAGTTATTAAATAAAGTGGTGATAATTGACTTTGCAGCAGAAGATATGGAATTCTACATGTCCAGAGCATGTGTTGGAAGATTTCAATGTGTGTGTTGAAGATGCTAATACAGAGAAGGAGCATGAAGTCATTGGTTTTGAGGTGAAGAATGCAATGCTCTTCCCACGTGAAGTGGAGAAAGGACTGTGGCCAGAAGATTACTCTCTTTCTGATCATGCTAGGCTCACCACTGTCTTTTCACCAGCAAGGATGCTATGCTCAGGATCACAAAACTGTAGCTAGCTGCTTCATATATATATAATGTGGAAATATAATGTATAGCCCACAGAAAATATTCATCATTAGGAAGGTTTGGCATAGGGGTAAAAAGAATGAGAGTTAAAAACTCATGGATGAGGTTTTCAATGCAATTTTATAAGTAAAACACATCCTTGAATTTTTCAGTTTTATTTTTAACCCCATACCAATCATGTCATTAGTTTGTCTTGTACATGCTGTGTGGAGTTGAAGTAGAATGTATCTGTATAATCAATTTTGGGAAACCCTGGCCAATTTTTTCTGGCAATTGAAGAACAATGTCTTAAGAGAAGGAAAAGCAATAGATTTTTAGATGAATAAGGTATTAAATTGTGGTTGGAGCATCTGGAACCATATGTTACATCCCTAAAATTTATAACCTAATTTAAGACCTAGCAAAGTTGGTGGAAATGAATTAAATGATTACAGGACTCTCACTTTGAGTTCATGGGTCAATAATATTGAAAAGGAGTTCAAACTTTGTAGTCATCTGGTTTTCTATTGACTATAAAGTTGGACATAATGGGTTTCTATCTTTGAGATCATGATCATGCAGATATACTAGTGTGGAGCATAACAAACCACCAAATGAAAGGAAGAGAAGCATCAGAAAATGATAAAAAGTAAAATAAAATAAAATTCTGTTTTCTGTTGATGGAAAGAGAAAGGAATATAGATTGTGGGCCAAGAAGGAAACTTGGGGAGCAAGAATAATAATAATAAACCATAATATCAAATGAGAAAAGTGTGTGTTATTTTAAAAGATGTAAAATTATAATTTTAAGTGAGAGAAAGAGATAGATAAAGAGGAAGAGAAAATGGACAAAAAAACAATAAATGTGTGGGTTCTATCTCTTTATGAGAGTGAAATGATATAAGTTGTGTCATATAAAAAGACAAACAGGTTTCCCATATCAAATTACTAGTTTTGTACATTTCAACTTAAATCATATTATTATGGAACCTTTTAAGTAGTCTCTGTAATTAATAGTCATTGATTACTCATTAGTCTAAAGTGATGGAGACTCATAACAGCATATAGAATGAGAAAGAGTTAAATAACCATGTGGTCCATTTCATAGAAAGTGACCCTAGATGTGAGGAAGAAGATTGTTTTTGTTACGCGTTAAATGGGTGATAGTGATTTGTTCAATGTTCAAACACTTCAGGACGTATACAACCACGCTTAATCCTGAAAGCATATCTATCCTACATTCACACACACACACACACACACTATAGAAGGCCACTTTCATGAAACAACAAAATCTTGTAAATAAATTAATGCCAAGATCACTGCTAATAATGTAATTATATGAAGTAAGAGAAGGAATAAGAATAGGAATAAGTAAATTGAAATTGGATGTTCTAACAACAACTTTGATTACTTGTGTGAATGAAAATCTTCTTCCTTTTCTCATTAGTGAAATCCTAATAACCTCCATTAACAGAGATTATTTTTAAAAAAAAATTTAATTCCATTAGTCAATGTATACTTGCTAAAAAATAACGTAGAAGCCTAAAAAAATATGATTAACATTTTATAAATTATTAAATGATAACTAATGTCATTTAACAAATTATTTAAGAATATATTAATCTTGAAGTACTGAATTAACTGGTATAAAATTGTTTCAACTTAATTAATAATCTCGGATCAAGTCATTAGTACACAATTATTTTAAAAAATTTGATAAGGTGAATTTTGTTATCTTTATAATCCTGACTTTATTAATTAATTGAATAATCAATGAATCGATAGAGAAATAAAATAAAATAAAAAATAAAATCTTATTCCTTAAAACGAATCCTAATCTCACTTTTCCCTTTTTTTAACAAAAGATTTGATGAATTTTTAGAATGATATTTTAGATAAGAATAACATTTCATATTTTTTTCATAAACAAATATAGGGAGATTTATAAATTCAGAATTGAATTTGGAATGGCATTCCCTTCTTTGGAAAGTTATTGAACTAATTAATGAATAATTAGACATATGAATAACTTATCACCATCAGATTTGATTCCCACTTGTTCAATTGAGAAAAAAAAATTAAGAAAGAAAGAAAGAAGAAGAAACACATACACAAAAGACTGCTTCCCATGTTCTTGTTTTGGGAAAAATATTTTGGTTTTTATCGTATAACGTAACTTTTATATAAAAATGAGTGATCCTTGTTGAAAAGAGAGAAAAGATTAATGAAATTCATTTATATTTCTATTCACTTTTTTTGTTCTTAGTATTAATATTTTTCATTTTATAAGAGATTAGATTTTTTTTTATATATATATATATAAATTCATAAAACCTGCATATGTTTATATATGTATTGAAGATATAAAATAAAATTATCACTTACAATATTGAGAAACATCTATGTAGTATCGATATTGACACAGGACGCTAGATACGACATGACATTTTGACATATTAATTTTAAAAAATATTAGATTTTAACACATTTAAAATAATAATCGTAATGTAACAAATTTAACAATTGAAACTAAAAACACAGTGTAAGATAACTTTTTGAATTTTTTTTTTCAATCTCTACAACTAATTTGAAAATGACATAATATTACTGACTAAGACTATATTAATGATTTTTGTCTTCAACATTAATATTTTTATTAGTGTAATTGGCGATAACTTCTTAGCTAAGTCAAAAGTAGACTGTGATCAACTTCAAAAGTCAGTCAATGCCTTTGCATTACAAATTGAGGAGTGAATTCCATTTCCCATGCCAAACCATAACAAAACACTCACTTTCTTTCATTCTTCCTTTGTTTCTCTTTGTTATATGCAAACTGCAAAGGCACAGTTGAACAAAAGTAATGGGGAGCACAATTCCCATACTGGAATTCATGCCTGTAGGATTCAGGTTCCGTCCAACAGATGAAGAGCTTGTCGACCATTACCTCAAACTTAAGTTGCAAGGTGATGATGTCGCTGTCCACATCATCCCTGACCTTGATCTTTGTAAGGTGGAGCCTTGGGACGTACATGGTAAACAAACCCCCCCTTCATCATCTTGCAATAAAGTTTTGTCCTTTTCTCTTTTTTTGTATCTCTCCTTCAATGCCCTTCATCATCATGTAATAAAAATTTGTCCTTTTTTTTGTGTTGTTTTTAATCTATGCTTCAATGCTCTTCATCATCATGGAATAAAAATTTGTCCTTTTTTGTGTTTTTGTTAGTCTATGCTTCAATGCTCTTCATCATCATGGAATAAAAATTTGTCCTTTTTTGTGTGTTTTGTTTTTAATCTATGCTTCTTCTGCAATGATTGACATTTGATCTTCTTTTTTTTTTTTTTTTTTTTTTTCTTGTTTCAAATTGTGATATCAGCGTTTTCAGTGATAAAGTCGGATGATCCAGAATGGTTTTTCTTCAGTCCTCCAGATTACAAGTATTCAAACAGTAAAAGGTTTAATAGGGCAACCAAGTGTGGTTTCTGGAAAGCCACTGGGAATGACCGTAAAATCAAGAAAAGGGGCACCAACAATGTCATTGGGACAAAGAAGACTCTTGTTTTCTATGAAGGAAGACTTCCTTCTGTTGTCAAGACCAACTGGGTTATTCATGAATATCATGCTACTACCTTTGATGTTAGCCAGGTTTTCTTTTTTTTTTGCTTTGTTCAACAACTTTTAACACTGTTTGCTAGTCATCTTTGTGCTAGAATTTTTGTCAATAGAAATTATTGTAGCATGATTTTTCAGGCCTTGGTATTTCCTGTCTTGTTGGATGTTCTGAGATTAGAAGGTTATTGGATCCATTATTTGAATTCCCTGTTTACTTTTTTTGTGTCATTCTCTACTCATGACTGAATTTTATCATATCTTCCTTGTTTGATGACAAAATTTATCTTCAATTTTCGTCAAAGACTGTCAATTTCTGCTATATAAATCTTTTTGAGGTTAAGTTTTCGTTGAAACTGAATGTATGATATTGCTGCATGCGCATAACTGCTATTCTTTTTCAGTTTTTGCTGTGAATAGAACTGTTCAGGAAACAAGTTTCTGATTTTGAAGCATTAAGCTTTTAATTTGTACGAATTGTATAAAAAAAATAAAGGCTGATTATCCTCCAAATTTTGCAGAGAAGTTTTGTTTTATGTCGCTTGATGAAGAAAGCTGAGAAAAAAGATGGAGAAGGAACTGATGCATTGATGCGTGATGAAGGAGAGCCCAGTAGACTCATGGCTTCTGACTGTGAAAATCAAGCAACAGCTGAAGGAAATGCAGATGTAAGAAGAAGCATTCTTAGTGGACATATGGAGAACTATTTCTTGGTTTACACTTTGTTATGTTGCACACTGAGAACTCATACTTGTTTTGTATTTATTTCAGGTAGGTACTTTGCCAGAAATGAAAATGGAATCAATCTTTCAGGCACCACTTCAGGCAGAGAACTTCCCCTCAACACAAAAGTCTCCAATTGGCATTGCGCAGGAAGCATCGTTCCCAAACTCTCCATGTCTGAATGCCTATTCTAGAAATGAAAACAGCAGTGTGCAGACACCATTTGAAACTGCTGAAGAGGAAGATGAGTTCTTGAATTCAATTTTAGCTGATGAAGATTTTTTTATCATTGAAGAAAGGAGACATGCTTTTGTAAATGAATCCACCCAATCAGAGTCATTGAGAAGGGTATACTATGAAAGCAGTGACACGGATGCTGAAGTAGTCTCTGCACGGGTAAAATAGATTGTTCAAAGTCCAAAGTGTGCATTGTGGTGATGTGATTTTTGCCATGTTTAGTGATTTTCTTCTATAGATTCTGAAAGATACCTGGGTAAAATGTATGGTTTGAGTTGGTAGTCATGACTGATGCATGGCACATTACTGATACTTTAGTGCATGCTTGGTTGAAGAGAAAAGTTGGGAAAAGGGAAGGGAATGGAGATAAAGCAATCTATTTTTGTCCCCCCTTTTAACCCCCCCCCTTCCATCCCTTCCCCATCATAGACCCTAAGACTTAGTAGTACTCTTTTCTTGGGTTCATAATCTTTTATTATTGTTATTGTTTGAGAACTTAAAGAATTGACTTCATCTGTTTATGTACTTCTGAAATTATTACAGTATGGCAAAATTCTGGATGCTTCAACGGTGTGTAATGAACATTCTACTTCAGGCGAACACCATGCCTCAAAAATGTTTAAATCATCACATGGTGCTGTCCATGGCGGCACACGTCTTCTATCTTCTGACCATGAAGCAAACAAAGAGAAAAAGGAGAGTATCTTTCGAGATGATTGCTTCGGAGTGGGGACATCCTCTTGTGACTCGACTGCAGATAAACCTTTGGAGATCAATTGTATTGAGATTTCTAGTTCTCCTTCAACTCTAAGGAGATGGAAAAATCATTATTATCCAAGACCAGACAACTTTACATCACAAAGAGCTGCTACAAGAAGATCTCATCCTCAGAAGAAGGTTTCAAGCAGTGCAGCATCCCATCTTGAGGTGAGAAAACCAAGCAGCTGAACTAGAAAAATGGAGAAGCCTGTCTTGACCAAGTAGGCAATTTAATTTTAATATACCATTGACAATACCATGCTCCATGTGATGTATTCTGCAGGCTAAGAAGCAATTGCCCATTGTGGAATCAGAAAAAGATAAAAAAAAAGTTCAAAATACTAGTTCAAGAGAGAATTTAGCATTCAGAAGCCATCAATCCTCTGATGTCAATGGAATAGGTTCTTTTTTCCGCCTGGAGACACCAAGCCAAAGCCTATTTCCACGCTCGGTATATCTTGCCAATGTAGTTTTAGGGATCTTGTTGTTAATAGTCATTAGTTGGGAAGCGTTATCATGTTAGGAGTGCAGTTAGTGCATGTGAGGGGTACTATGGTTCCTTTTCTCGTAGTGCTGCTACAAGGCAAGCTTTGTTTTAGGAATTTCATCGTTATTAGATAGGTAAGGTATATAGTTTACATAGATTTTGCACTGATGCAAGCTTACTGCATCTTTCTTATCATAATGAAATGTTTATGCTCACTATTTGTAGCTTTTTCCATAGTCATTAATTTTGCAATTGCAATGTTGATACCCTCTATAATTTAAATATAGAGTAAATCCCTAAATTGGTCCTCCAAAGACTAGTGTGTTACTGCATTAGTCGTACAAAGATTTTTGTCAACCAAATTAGTTCCTCAAAGATGCAATATAGTTTCAAAATTTGTCCTCATGTGTCGCCACTTTAGTTCTCCATAAGGACAAATGTGGTGACATTTCAAATCTTTGAAGGACTAATTTGGCGATACAACCTTTGAAGGGTAAATTTCAGGGTTTACTCGTTAAATTTGTTATGATGTGAACTTTAAGGCTAAATAAATTTATTTTGTTTCCTGAATTTTGAACAATTTTATCAAGATGAACTGTCTTATATGCAGCTAATATACTTGGTGGTTACTGAAAGCAGTGTTGAGTGATATAGATAGACAAAATATATGAATAAGCCTATGTTGGCCTTTCCTGAAAATGTTATAATGTTCACAATATACTGGTATGTGTGTCAGGTCAATTGTTCAATACCTTGTCAGCTTCAGAAACTTATTTTCTTATCCAATAAAGGTGTGTCAGTAAATCATCACAAAAGTGATTAAAAATTAAAATCAGTTTTGAGTTCTGGTAGAAAGATACTCTTTTGTCCAGTAGCAATCTTCATGGCCAATTTCTGAACGTGCCTAAATAAAAAATGTCATTTAGTAGAACCAGTCCAAAATCATTATTCAAAACAAGGAAATAGGAAGCACATATGGGAATTTAAGCCATCCGAAGTTTCATTTATTTAATGAACATCTTAGGATACACAAGTCTGATACAATCAGTCAAGCCAGCTAAAGTAGGCTGTACACTCTATGCAACATAGCACAGTGCCTGGCTAAGTGTGAACGGCTTCAAGGTTTTAGGAACAGCCACCAGAGTCTTTTTTTAGATAGGGTCTTTTATTCCATTTATCAATGCTCTCAAGAACCAAATATATTAGCTGGAGAAAGTTTATGGTCATAAAATAGTTGACAATTCAAGTAACAAAAGAGATTAATATAACCATATGGTTTGTAGCATAATATATTTAAACTACACAGGGTATGTGGATTGCAATTATTGAATTAATGATTATAGATAAAACTATTACTTGCAGCTTTGAATATTTCGTTATGATAGGAAAGATGCAGTAAGTTGCATAATTGTAAGACTATGTGAATTTTACCTTATGTATCTCATCATGATGAAATTGTTGAAACAGAAAAAGGTCCTGAAGCAGCTCTTCTCAGATGAAGAGAAGACGTCCAGCCCCCTTATCTTTCCTCACAAGAACAGAACTTCCAACACATAAGCTTCCCAAATACTACTATACACGAAGGAAATGGTGATGACTAGCAGAAGATTTGAATACAAAATGTGCAGAGCCTATGTTGAAAAACTCAATGGCTGTATGGAGGACACTAGTTTTGGGGTGGGAGCAGAAAGCCTTCAGTTTTAAGGTGAAGAATACAGTGATCTCCCCCAGTTAACAAAGGATTGTGGGAAGACAACTACTTTCATTTTTAATCATCCTCAGTTGAACATTGTTTTTTAGCAGCAAGGATGCCTTATTCTGGAATATTTATGAGAAATATTAAAATTTATGGGAAATATATGTAGAAGCCCATAAAAAGCATACCTGTATTTTAAGGATCCCATTTTTTTTGTATATGGAATCAACTATGATAAGATTTTGATGATCCCTGTCCAATTTTTTCAGGCAAGGGGAGAACATTGTATAAAGATATATGAGTTATAAAAAGAAATGCTTAGCCAGAAAATAATATTTCCTTTCAACATGTGATTTTAATAGGGCATGTATAAGCACACATCTTATCTACATTGACATGAAGGAGACATAACCTTACAAATCTAAATTGGAACTCCAATCTTTATCATCATTTCATTTTCTGCTTATCCTTTGACAGAATGAGTTTCCATTTTTTAGGGGTGATAGAAAGTAGTGGGGAGCATAACAAACTATCATTATGAAAAGCACCGTAGGGACACTACGATGACTTGAGATGGTGAGAGCAACAAAGAAAATTGACTCAAAAGATTCGATCTTCTTTTAGAAGGAAGTGGAAAGGACAAATGACTTGAGATGGTGGGGGCAACAAAGAAACTTGGGGAACAAGTCCTATTGTTTCATAAATTCATATTACCAAGTTAAAAGTTAGCTTTTTTTTTTTTAAAGTTACTTTAGATAATTTTATCTAATGTTCATTGAAACAATGTTATTTTGGTGAAGAAATTGTAGTGTTTTTATAATTTTAATTTATTTCAGGATTATAATAATCTTTATCATTTTAATTTTTTAACTTTAAAATAACATCATTTTAGTAAATATTAAATAAAATTGTCTAAAATAATATTTGATACTTTTTTCATTAAAAAGTATTGGCTTGGTTAAGTCCACAAACAGACACTAATACATCCCTCAATAGTAATCGTTGGTGAAGTATTATTTAATATCATCTTATTTTTTAACGTTACTTTTATGTTATCACTTTTTGTATAAAGCTTGGTGTTTTACCCGTTCCACATTATGGACAAATGATGTATATAGAAAGCAAAAGTGTATATTCTCACTACTCTCTTTGCAAAATAGTGATCATTTTCAACGAAGTTAGATTACGTAGTACGCGCTTTGTAATTCGTCATCTTTGGAATTTTTGAAGCCGCTACAGCACTATTAAATTATCTTTGATAAAGACTCATAATGATCACATACCAAGTCATTCACTTTCATGGGTAGTGACCTTTTTCTTTTCTGTTATCTTTCACTTCAACGGTGGAATCATAATTTTTTTCTTTTACGGGATAATTTTTTTTTTTTTTTTTTAAGTTACAACTATTTATTGTTGGAATCGACTGTTTCACAAAGCACACAAATCTAAAATAGAAAAGAGAGAAAAACAAGAGGAGTGAACATATGATATATCCTGGTTTATTCAATATAGGTTATCTCTCACTTGTTGGTATTATATTCTTTTTATTCATACTCATTTCAAGTTACTCAGTTTACAAAAAAAATATAAATAGAATTTAAAAATTCTAACAGCAGCAATTCATGAGTTTAAGTCCAAACTATTCAGAAAAAGAAAAACACAATAAATCAAAGGCTCACAATAATTGACTTCCTGCTGATTTCACTAATAAAGGTCATCATTAGACTGTAAAATATGAGGCATACCCAACGTTTATACGATTAAAAAAAGAAATAATGTTTATAACAATGTATTTTTCATGAAATTTGAAAGGGACAAACGGGGAATGGTGATTAAAATGTCACTTTTTGGTAAATTTTTTATCCAAATGTCATGTGAATAATATTTTTTACCAGACTGCTACATGTCATAATTCGCTACACTGGTAGAAAATTTCTTGGCCAATAATTTCGTGATACATGACCATATTGCAGACCAAATACGCTACTACTGGTAGTGAATTATGACACATCAGTTTTTTCATGTGAAAGTGTGCCATGTGTCATAAAATCTTTGATGAACGTAATTTAATATAAGTCGTAGCGAATTACATCACGTGAGTAACAAATACTGTTTGCATGACATTTAGATAAAAATTTTCACAAAAAATTACATTTACTATTCCGACAAACGGCCCATTTGCTCACTTGTCATAATATATAAGTCAGAAAGACATGAATACTTTCGGTGTTTTTATAGCATATTACGGAACAGTGGTCAAAGTGTGACTGTTGACAAAAAAATATATCAAAATACTACGCCAACAGTAAATTTTGTCAAAATGCCACGTGGCATATTTCGCTACACTGTGTAGGAAAATATGTCTGTGCAAATAATTCGCTACACGGTGTAACGAAATATGCCACGTCAGAATAAAAAATGCTACGTGTCAAACAGGAAGAATTTCGCTACACAGTGTAGCGAAATTCACCCTGTCTGACACGTGGTATTTTTGGTTCTGTGTATTCTGACGCGACATATTTCTCTACACCGTGTAACGAATTATTTGTACACATATTTCACTACATAGTATAACGAAATATGTCACGTGACATTTTAGTAAAATTCACTGTTGACGTGACATTTTTAATGTTTTTTTTATCCAACACCAACACTTTGGCCATGTTGCGCATATTTCCTATGAATAGAAGTTGATAATAAAATGGTAGGAAATACATTTAGTTCGGTGAATAAATGTTTCAATTTTATGGACAGGATCACCTGAAAATATTTCCCCCACAAAAACATGCCACGCCAATCCCAATCAACAGTAAAAGTTGGCTTCTTAGTTAAGCCATAGCAAGTCAAGACAAAGCACAGTCAAGCACAGTCGAATGAGTCGATGACTTCTTTCACTTCACTCTGTATAAGTTCAGCTTCTTCATCATGGTTTTTCCAGTATCTCAAACTTGTTCTCCTTTTATATGGGTAAATCACACTTCTACAATCAATGGAGAGTCCAGCCTCAATGGTGAAAAGATTACTACCTTTGGGATATAGATTCCATCCATATGATCACGAGCTTGTTGGTCACTACCTGAAGCACAAGTTGCTTGGTGATGATTCAAGTGTGCACAATGAAATAGCTGAGGTTGATGTTTGCAAGTTTGAGCCTTGGGACTTACCAGGTATTTATTATATAAGGACCATGAGAGCCAGAAATAAAACATGTCTTTTCTTTTCTTTTCTTTTTTTTATACTTTAATGTTCTTATTAAATGTTGTGATGTTAGCATATTCCAAGATAAAATCGGATGACCCAGTATGGTATTTCTTTAGTCCTCTTAGTTTGAAGTTCAGAAAAAGCACAAGGCGTAACAGGAAAACCAAGACTGGCTACTGGAAGGTCACTGGTAAAGACCGTAACATCAAGACACCTCACAGCAACAATGTTATTGGAACCAAGAAGACTCTGGTTTTCTATAAGAGTTGTGGTGGTCATCGTGTCAAGACCAATTGGGTTATACATGAATATCATGCAGTTACCTTTCCTGATGACAAGGTAGTGATTGTAAATTTGTAATGTTACTATATACTATTAGTAAAATAACTTTACCACTTTGTTAATACTTGATTAAAATTGCCTCTCTTTGGAATTCATTTTGGTACTTAATTTTTTTGCATTACGAATTACTTTAGCTTGAATTGGGTATGTGTTCAATTTTCCTTTAGATGTTTAAATTGTGGACAATTTGACAATAAAAAGTTACTAGCAATGTTACTGAATTCCCATGAACATTTGTTGATCATTCCTTTAGCTATGTCTTATGTGGTACAATGGACAAATCTGTAGCAAATCAATGTTGATTACTCCCTTACTTTATACAGAGAGGTTATGTCTTGTGTCGCTTAAAGGAGAAAGCTGAGAAAAATGCAGAAGTTGGAACTGATTCATTGATACATGATGAAGGGGAGCCAAGTAGCCATATTATTGCTGACTATGAAAACCAACCAACCACAGATAGAATTCCAGATGTGAGCATCAGCATCCTTTGTGTGACATTTGAGAACTGGTTCTTAATTTTTGCTTTGCATAGTAAAACAAACTGAGAGCTTACACTTAATTGGTTCATATTTGTTTCAGGTATATACTCCCCCAGAAGTGAATTTGGAATCAGTCTTTCTAACACTACCTCAATCAGGAGAATTTGACTTCTCCTCACTACAACAGTCTCCAATTGTCATTGAACAGGATCCATATTTCCAAGCTTCCACATTTCCCAATGCCTGTTTTGGGAACGAAAACAGCATTAAGCAGGCTCCATTTAAAACTACTGTAGATGAAGGCAATCTTGGGGAAATCAATGAGTTCTGGCATTCATTTATAATACCTTCTTTTGCTAATGATTCCACCCCCTCACAGTCTTTGAGAAAGGATTATCATGAAAGCTTTGAAACAGAAGCTGAACCACTATCTGCACGGGTAAAGATATAGAAAATTTCTTGTATGGTCACAGTGATTATAAGCACACCACTCACAAGCATATTCCTTTGAGCTTGTGATGGTGTGCCTGCAGTTACTGTGCCCAGGGAAGAAAAAGCTCATGTATATATGCTCATGTATATATGGTCACAGTGCTTATAAGCACACCACTCACAAGCATATTCCATTGAGCTTGTGAGTGGTGTGCCTGCAGCTACTGTGCCCATGGAAGAAAAAGCTCATGACTATACCATCCAAGCATTCTCTTACTCTTATTATTTACCTATTTTTAGTTCATTCGAGTGTGAGATATACAAAAAATTTGAGGCCCCATATTGATTATGACATTGTAAACATAACAATCCCAGGTATACTATAAATATCTTTTCACTTACCAAACGTCTCAAGGATTATTAACTTAATCTATTTTGTGTTGAAATTGTTACAGCATGGAAATGTTCTGAACTCTACTTCAACAGTGTGTAATGAAGATACTGGTTCAAGGGAAAACCCAGTAATATCAATGGTGAAATCATCACATGATGCTGGCCCTTCTTCAGTATCATCTAAAAATGAAGTAAATCTAGAGAAAAAGGACAGTACCTTTGATGATAATTTCTGGGGAGAGGATGCTGATTTCTGGGAAGTAAATGCATTTGATGACTCAACTGCTAATGAATCTTTTCCTATGTTTCTTATTGAAAGTGTTAGCCCTCCTTCACCTCCTAGGGCTAGATCTCCACCTTCAAGAAGATGTAAAAGTAAATATCATCAAGGACCGAGGTCATCCAAATTTACATCACAGAGAGCTACTTCAAGATCTCAAGCAAAAAGCCAAGCTGAGAAAGCTGTATCCCAACAAGAGGTGAGAAAGTCAAGCTTCTTCACTACGGATATGGAGAAGCATACCTTTAAGAAGAGATACATGCTTCTTTCGAAGCTAATTATATTTTTACCATATCATTGATAAGTCTTTGCTCCACATGATGTATTTTGTAGGCACAGAAGGAAACACACATACTGGAGTCAAACAAAGAGCAGAGAAAAGCTCAAGGTACCAGTTCAAGAAAGAATTTGGAAACCACAAACAATCAATCATCTGCTGTCAACAGAAAGGGTTCTTTCAACAATTTGGACAATACTATGTTATTTAAATTGTTACGGCATGACAAGATTCCAGACACTACTTCATCTCGGTTTAATGAATATACTGGTTCAAGGGAAAACAATGCTATATCATTTGTTAAATCAGCAAATAATGCTGTTGACAATGGCCCTCCTTTATTGTCATCTAAAAATGAAGTAAACCTAGAGATAAAGGACAATACCTCTGATGATGGTTTCTGGGGAGTGGATGCTGATGAGGAACTAAGTCCAAATGAACCTTTGTATATTTGTGTACTTGGGGCTGATAGCTCTCCTTCACCTCCAAGGCCTAGTTCTCCTTCATCTTCAGGAAGATACCAAAGTAAATATCATCCAATATCACACAACTTTGTGTCACTGAGAGCTACTGCAAGAAGATCTCAAACACAAAGGAATATTTCAAGTCAAGCAGTATCTCAACAAGAGGTGAGAAAGCCAAGCTATTGCAAAAGAAACATGCTTCATTTGAAGCAAATTTTAATTTTTACAATGCCATTAATAAGCATTTGTTCCATATGATGTATTCTGCAGGAGCCGAAGGAATCACATATAATTGAGTCAAACAAGGAGCTGAGAAAAGCTAAGGGTACCAGTTCAAGAAAGAAATTGGAAACAAGAAGCAATGTATCATCTGGTGTTATTGGAAAGGGTTCTTTCATCCACTTGGAGACTCCTTTAGTGCAAAGTTCATGGTCTTTTTTCACTTGGAGTTGTGCTTTGTCTTGGCATGGTTTTGAATTTCACCGTGATATGATGCACAAGATTAAATTCAAAGGGGTCTCTTAATGATGCAAGCATAGTGCATCTTTCTTATAATAATGAAATTTCTACACCTTTAGTTGTACCTTGTTTCATAGTCATTAGTTCTGCTATGTAGTCCTGGTATCCTGTGTTATATAAACTTCTTGTGTTGGTGTGTTTTATAGACTTGAGCTTTAAACAAAAGAATTATGGGATATTCTATGAATGTAGAGGTTCTTCCTTGTAGCTAATATTAAGCAGGCCTGTCTGGATATTCAAAGCTCTTCAAGTTCTTGCTTCATATTCAAAGAGTTGTTTTTACCTTGAATAGTCTTGTAACATGAATCTTTCAATGGCTTAGTTTGCCCCTTTGAATTCCCACTTCTCAAGTTTCTTCTTTTAAGCGTGATTTGGTTTAGCTTAATTTTTTCTTTAAAAAAAATCACTTTTTAATTAAAAAGTATCCTTTCAATCTAATTTTAATTATAAATCATTTTAAACATAAAATAAGTTAATCTATAAAGACACAGATTAACTTTACTAAGAGCTAAGTAATTAGTGTAAAATTATTTTAAGGTGAAATACATTTTAAAAATTCATTAATTTCATCATTAAGAAAATGAAATTTGCATTCATTTTTTTTCCTGCATACATATGATAATTTTACCAAAATAGTTTTTATAAGAATAAATTTATGTCAAGTAATTTAATGTATTGGGAAAATCGAATCTCAACTTACTGCAGCTATTACTGATAGAGAAATGATGTGGGTCCCACAAAAAGGGAAAAAAAAAATATTAAGGTAGGATTCATTTTAATTTTTGTCACACGCTACAGATAGTAATTTGTAGCAACTGCAGACTCGAATATAAAACTATTGTTGAGAGTCATACTCTTCTTTAAAAAATGTAAAAGTATACTTTACAGGGTAAAGTATTTGTTATTTTAAAGGATATAAAGTTGAGCCATTTTAAGAGAGAGAAAGAGATAGATAAAGGAGGAGAGAAAGTTGACAAAAAAAAATAAAAGTGTGGGTCTCACCTCTTTGTGAGAGTGAAATGATATAAGTTATGTCATTTAAAAGGATAAACAGTTTTTCCTACTATATAATATCTTTATAACCTTATTAATAAGGATAATATATGTTCTTCAAATTTTTGAAGATCCAAAAACAAATATGTGAACCCTAAAAAGAAAAAAAACACTAATTAATTAATGATACTATTGGCAAAAGGGAGAAAAAACTGAATTTGGGGTGAGAGAGGCTCGAACTCTCGACCTCAGGATAACTCAATAAGCTATGAGACCTACGCGCTAGCCAACTGCGCCACCACCCCAATTGGTGACTTCTTATACTTATATTTGTTAATATAATATAATTATGAAATGATATATTCCCAAAGTTAACGATCTTTGTGTGTGTTTTGTTTTTCTTTCTTTCTTTCCTGTTAAAAGCTTTCCATTTAAAGTCTGTATTAATTATACAATTTTCCAAAAGGGACCAAAGTACATGCAAAACAACAAAAAAATTCATGTTTAAAGTACTCACTGATTCAAGGCAAGCAAAATCGGGCCATTTGTACAGTGTACAATTTACACACAATAGTGAGGTTCTAAACAAACGCAACAATTCAGAGGTTGTAATTGTACCCAATCCAATTACCAAGTTAATCCACAGTTGACCACCAGACTCTAGGCCCTTGGGCCATGTGTTCACATCATCTACACTCCTGCGTCTTAAAAAATATTTAAAACTGTGGGACTAAAATTGATTGAACCTGAATCTAAAAACAAATAAAAAATTATAATGATGTTATGTAAATTTCACATGTTGATGGTGTTAAGAATTTAATAAATGACATAATCGATCACATTCAAGGTGAAACACTCAAATAATAGTTTCATTTCCTTTTTATTCCCTATACCTTAGTTCTCCTATGAGACACCACTTGTAACTCACAAGAGCACACCATATGTGAAAGAACCTCAACCAATAATAATAATAATAATAATAATAATAATAATAATAATAATAATAATAAATAGCTTAAATAAAGTTAGGGATGGAATATGAAAAATTGAAGGTCATACTCGATCAGTATGCTCTAATGAATGTTTTATGGTTTTCATTGGCAGATGCTGGTGTGGTGGATGTCTTCTTGGGGAACCTAATATTTCTTGTAACTTTCTTCTATATATATATTTTTAATGCACCTGTTAAAAACTTCACAAGACTATACACGGATAAAAACAAATTGACCACGATGAAGTTTTATAAATTTCTTATTAATAAAATTATTTTTTAATAATAATAATAATAATTGACACTTACTACGTATGAAGTTCTGCTCATAACTAATTTTTTAAGTGTAGGGTTACATTTACAAATTTTTTGTTTACAAACTACACTATGTATTATCGGTAATACATACTGCTGAGCATGTACTACTCATAGTACATAGTGTAGTTTGAAAATAAAATTTTTGTAAATATAACATGTCTCAATCTTTAGAGTAATAATATTTTTACATAATTTTTAATTTTTATTACACTATTTTTACATAAAAAAATAAATGATAAAATAAAAAATACATATTTCAACATATATAATCTCTACCTTACTTTTTCAAATAAACAATAAAAATGACGTGGATATTGCGATGTAAAAATGTCATTTTTCAACTCTTTAGTATATAAAAAAAGCGAAATAATCATTTGATACCGTTATTGAATTAAAAAGTTTGACATCAAATTTTAAACGTTAATTTCCGTCAATCTTATGGTTATAACTTATTGAGAATTAATAATTAATTAATAAGTGTTACTCAATAATTAATTATAATAGTAAAATTGATGAAAATCAATTGTTAAAATTTGGTGTTCAAGTATTCTGCCCCATATAAAAAATAAGTAAGGAATGCATTGCACCTGTGTTTTCAGAAAAGCAGAAAATAATTTTTTTGGTAAATTATTTGTCAATTTAATGTTAGTGAAATATATATGGAGATTGTGCCCGTTCAAATCATGCATTATCTCATACATAACTTGTGCAAAAATCAAAATGTGTCTATCATCAAACTCTGCAAGACATGTATGGAGTGTACATAACTTAAACACGCATCTTGCATTGCTCTTACTTATGCACAAATCGCACATGCGTATTTCACTTGCATTAAATGAATAAATAATTTATAAAAAATAAAATAATAATATTTTTTTGTTCATTATACATCCCAAAAGACCGTATTTGCACGTTTGCTTGTCTCGCTCTTACGTTACGTTCAATAAATTGTTTTTTCCCTTTTCATATAAAAGGCCAGCCAATCCATGATAAACACTTGCAGTGCCATTCTAAGAGAAGAAATCGGATCAGACTTGTCGGAAAACATGAATGTTGAAATTGAAAAGTAGAGAAGGTTGAAATTTTGCATAATTTTGGTCTCTCTGCCGTACTGTTTTTTCTTTCCAATGTTTCTCTATCTTACCAAGCATTAGTACGAGACCTAACTAAAACCCCTACTTACAATAAATTCAATACCCACATACATATGATACATATAGTACTAATTGTCATTCAGGCCAAAAAGACGACAATAAAATCGGCATAGGCACCAGTACCGATAGACTAGCTAGACCACATCCCAAAGTAACTACATGGATGCCACTAAAGAAGCTTCGTACTCATTACATTCTCTTGTTCCTTTCAAATTTTGTGCAATAAAACGAAAACAAACAAAACGAAAGGAAATAACAAGCCATGTGCCATGTGGAACCTAGCTAGCTAGCTAACTGGCCAAACCTTCACCTAACTTCATACTATCTAGCTTAGCGAAAATTTTAACATAGGTACCTATATTTTTCCAATAAAAACATAACACTAATATATTTTTTAAAGAAAAATGATTATATTATATAATTTTTTTTAAATGAGTCTTATCTAATACTCAATGCGACAATAATACCAAAATGTTCTCCCTTCCCTACCTTAGGTTTTGAGAAGCCACCACTTGTTGATTGTGTCCCTGTCTATATATATTCACCAAAAGGTTTAAGAATCTGTGTAATTTTATACACTACTATTAATGAATTTGTATCTTTGTTCTTTTTGAAATGTATATAGAGAAAAAAATTTGTATGTATTTTCTATTAAATAAAAATTAAAGGAGAGAAGATAATCCAAATATAACTATGACTACTAAAGATGACTTGAATTGTAACTTGGTTGTGTTGGTTTCTTTCATTTTCTTGGTCTCTCTCTATGGTCTCT